CTGCAACAAAAAAAGCAAATCACCACCGAAGACTGACTTAACTGAGCTCACGTATTCTGATGTACAGTACTGAAATAAGGTCTCATTTGCAACATTTTAAAGACGACTTGGCATTGTGCCCCTCCCATTTTCTCCTTTCAACATCATAACTACAAAGAATTAAGAGTTTGTGCTACTTTCAACTTTCTCGTTATTTCACTAAATTAATATATTAAATTCTAGTTTGTAGTCATTTGTTACTTAAATGGTCAGGTGCGGTGGTAAGCTCCTTGTTCCCCCAAAATAAACAGAACCCTCCATTACCTAGAAAAACAGACACAAGAACTAGCAAAACTAGATTTGAATTCAAAGACACTAACTCAATGAAACATCCTGTTCTACTGTGTAATGAGCTTCAGAACATTTAGGAAGAACTGATCTGGTTCACTGGTATCAACATCTGTAAACAGACACAAAGAGGTAATTGTAAATTATCAAGTGCTGGGGAACAGGAGTTAACACGTAATTACCATTGTTTCAATCTGAGTTACCCTGTCTTCACCTCAGATCAACTGGCAGCCAGTGTACAATTACCTCTCCATACTGCAGAACATCTACCAAAACAGTAGCAAAATCAGATTAACTTAAGTCACCTAATGCAATGCAAAATACCCACAACTCCATAGCAAGTAGCATCAAGTGGCTCTTTAGGTTGCCCACCTTTCAGAAGTTTATTCAAAAGTCCCCAAAGTTTAAGAAACAAATTCACCGGTAACCTAGATTAAAAGGCCAGCCCAGCTCCTAGATTCTAAGTTCATTTAGATTTTCCCCAAATACATTTAGTGGCCAACATAGGAATCAATGGCTTCTCCCTGTGTTCAAGTCCCCTCCTACCCATCCACCCCCTTTCAGAAATTAGAAAAGAGCCCCAGTCTCCAAACTGGCTGATGGAATCTCAGTCTACAGGATATTTTCATACTTGAGTTATAATAAACCATTGAAATGAAGATGAATAGAGGACAGCTTAATAATCTATTGGCTACAGCATTTATTGCCCAGCATTAGGACGCAAAGTCCAAAATTCTGTAACCTAGGTCAAAGCCAAATTACATATATATGTGAATCACAAAGGAACTGTCCATTCCTTTAAGCTACTCTGCAGTACAGAGGGTGGTGTCTATTGTTTGCCTCACTCTAGCTGTTCACTCTGGTCACTTACTTGCTAACCAGAAGATTTCTATTCGCATTCAAGTCGGAATTCAATAATTCAGTACCAGGCTCTATTCCATCCCTTTCAGTACCCCCAAGACTGCCAAGGAAGCTCTATTCAAGTTCTGACAACCCACCTACCCACGCTACGAAAGTACTAGAATCTACAACAGGTAACAAGTCTTCAATTTCTGATTCGTTTTCCCCAAACACTAAAAGGTATTATTTAGCATTTCTAATACTGATTTTACTACAACATTTAAGTCTTTCAAACACCTGCTCAAAGAACCAATTCACCCAAAGAACATACTAGTCACTGTTGTGGGGTTCAAAAGAAGAAAACGGTATATTCTTTCTATTTTAGCCTACTGTAAAATGACTCAAGAGGGCCAGATCCAGGAGGGCCTTTCAAGTGGACAATCTGGTCAAGGTGAGGCTGAAAAGTAGCTGACTACTGCAAATGAGTGGCTGCAACAAAAGGCAAGTCATCAAGTCCAAAGATGCAGACATAGTGGGATTGGGCCTACAATGGTCATTTATCTAATGTAATACACGGAGTGAACTTTTAGCACCAACCCACATCTCAGCTGAGGGTTATTAGTCATCAGGCGGACCAGACATGAGTGGAAATATTGCGACATAAAACCTGCCTCCCTACAAAAACCAACTGCAAACTTAGATCTTGATGGTCATCTTTATAGACCAACAGGGGCATATTATTATCACTTGCCCAACCTTCAACCCTAAATTCATACACAGCTGGAAGCAAAGGAGGATTCATATACTAAAACACATCTGGGGTGCTCGTTATGCAATTTTAAATAGCAGCATATACAAGTCCTGTGAGGAAAAGGTATGCTCTCAACTGAACATCCACTCAGTTATGAACACAGAGGTTGAGATTTACCTGCCAGAAAAGACCACGGCTGCCTCCTTGCCCACGCTCAGCTGGGTGATGTTTTTTTTTTATTACAATAGCCCATCAGTACCTACAAAACAGTAAGTGATAAGACTCTAGGAAAGGCAACAGAAAGAATCGCAAGGAGCATCACTCTCTATTTCCTTCTCTATCTTGTTCTTATTTGCCTACCTATTCGGAGCTCAGCCTCCGCCTTTCTGACCTAGGCTCTTTTCACTCTCCCCTTTGCTCACTAGGCTCTGGATATTACTGTTGCCCCTTCTCTGTCGTCCCCCTACCTCCCCACCCCCTCTCCACCTCTCCCCTTTCCTCCCAGTCCCCAGAACTTGCCAAAGTCTCTCCATCCAGTTTCTGCACTAGCTACCTAGTCCCAGAACCCAGAAGGCTCCTCTCCTATCTTTGCAGTGCTGGCTACTTTTTAGTTAAAGCTCAACTTAAGTGTCACCTCCTCAGGAAGGTGTTCCTGGACTGCATCCCAATCACTTTCTATTACATCACTCTTGCTTTCTTTGGCACTCATCAAAATCTGATTTATAAGTTTATTTATTATGTGTCCCCCACCCAGAACCTGATGTAAACTCCCTGAGAGTGGACATTATGCTGGTGTTCATCTTTGTATGCCGTGTCCAAGACACCAGCTAAGCACTTAGAGCCATTCAAAAATGCTTGTTGAATGAATTTTGGGCCTTTTATTCAATGATTCCAGATCAATTAAGGTGAGAGCAGCAGTCATTCCTTTGTTGCATTTCTGTGAAACACCTAAACATGCTGTTACTTGCACAATCAAAGCATTATATTGTTTTATCAGATAAGTAGGATGACAATTCTCCCAGCAATATGCACACAAACAGAGGGCCAGGATTTATGCACTCTTTTTTAACTAAAGGATCCCCCAAATTAGACACTATCTCTTAAAGTTCTTCAGAAAACAGAGTTTCAGATTCAACAGAGGATTTCCAAAGAAAGTATCAACAATGAAATAGGAGTCATCACACTTCACTGTGAAATCCCTTGACAGGCTGAAGGAGCTCGCTTCCTGGGAATTTTTTAAAAAAACCAACAGAACATCAATAAAGAGACTTCCTTCGCAATCATTCTTTGCTTTCTTCAAATAACTTTTTCACATCTGTTATCGGTTTGTCTTCTTCTTTAAAACAAAACTAAACAGGTCACCTTTTCTCACTTACGACCACCTATACAAAAAGAATCAGCTACATAAGATGGAAATCTGCACAAGCCCAATGTGTCACTGAAAACTTGTGTGCCAGACATACACGGAGAAAAAGATGAAAGAGCTGTTGTCCAAGTGTAGAAACAAAAAAGTAATATGGGGTTTTCTGTTCTCTGAAGTGCACCATGTAGTGTGGGTGGAGAGAAACACAGAAATCCAGAATTAGCCAAACATCAAATCATTTTGGAAAGAGTTGACAACATGTAAATTCCTCACACTGAAAGTATTCAGAGCAGGAGACCTTGATTCCTGGGCTACGGAGCCATTTAGAAATCCTCGCAAGGCGTCGGAATTCCAGCACTCACAGGAGGGAAGGTTCACCTGCATCCGGAGCTGCCAGGCACTGAGCGGCGCTCAGTGACACAGCCTGTACCCGAAGTATTCACACAGCGTGCATTCCAGGTCCGCATGGAGGCTCCACACCAAACTCAAAAGGTGACCAAGGCGCCAAGTGTCATAAAGAAAAAACCCACACGCCTCGATCACCACCGAACCACAGAGGATTAGAGTGGAAACCAGGGGTGTGTTTGGGCTGGGGGGTGAGGGGTGAG